AATAAGTTCATAGCGCTTCCCGCGCTGCTTATGCGTTGAGCTCGAAAGTAAAATTAAAGTTAAATCCATAAGTTATAGTTTTTTTGTAGAAAAAATATGCTTCTGAAGAACAGTAATAACTTGACATCGCCTAAGCTCTTTGAATATATTTAGCGAACTTTATGAGGTGCGAGAAGATGACGCGTAGTAAAAGCAGTAACGAAGATTATTCACATGCTACGCCTCTATTTTCATTTTCACTTTTAGTTGAACGTCAGCTTGCCTTACTTGTCATTAAGCGTCTTTGGCTTTTTTGATTATAGATGCAACCTTTGAACGATAAACCCTTTTCATGATTTACTCTAATCTTGCATAATTTATATATGGATTAAAAGTAGAATATTAGCTCAAAAGGTGCGTATGGTTTTCTCCTTCCACACGACCCTCTCTATATTCTGTGAAATTTGTTTCTTCCGCTAGATGCTAGAACTACTTGGCTTCTTGTGAAACCGCAGTTACAGTAGAGTTACACATTTCTACATTAATTTTTGTATGCAAGATTTCACTGGCATTTTTCAACTCAGTTCCTCGTCAGATTAACCTTCATCCAGTAAACTTGTTGTGCGCCTAAATCGTCATTTGGAAAAATAAACCAAAACCGTTGCTGATCGATATCCCTCTAGAATAGTCCAATTGCGAAGGTTGGCTGAATCGTCATTCTTGGAAGCGAGTGGCTTCATCTCAGAGAGCGATTGAATTACATTTCCTATTATTGCTGCTTACTACGCGACCCATATGTTTCGCATTTGTTCAGCATTGGCGAACAAGTCACCACAAAATTCGATGCACCGTACTTCAAAATGAATGGTGATGTTTTCTGCTATAAAGCAATTAGAGATGCTGAAATTCGCGACAATGAAGTTTTATGCGCTGACGTCACCGCCGGTGCTTTGGAACATTTTTTGTGCCTCATGTCCTCTCCCCTATAAGAAATTTTGCGATTGGACTTTTGCTCGAAGAAATATTGCAGACGACTAAACGGAAGTCAAGCTATGGAATCGAAAATAGTCCTAAAAGCTATCAGATTTCAAGAATATAAGAAATATAAGAAGAATTAAATTCAAAATCTCCTAATCCACGAAGGTAGTTTGAGATTGGTACATTACACACTTGTTGTCATCGTAATTAATGGAGAAATTAAGAAGAAGACTTTCTAGCAGCAAAATGAACGTTACGTTAGCAAAATAAGTTATCAAAATCCCTTCGAAAGTAGGTTA